CAGCAATCCACATCCCCAGCTCTGGGAGTCTTTCAATCCTGTTAGTCCAGAGCCATTTCACTTCTCCGGCCCCTCCCCCCTTCCTCCTGCCAGCCAGCCAGGTCCTGTTCACCGGAGGTGGTTCCCCAAGGATCTGGTTATACTTGCAGCCCCACCATATGCCCTATTTCCCGAACGACTGAGCACTCTCTCTGTCATTCATCTAAGCCCCAATGCTGTGGAGCTGTGGTCTGGAAGTCAATAGTTTAATTTTTCCAGACCCCTTTGGTGGGCATGCCCTTGGAAGCTGGCGGCTAAGACCTTGGGTGTTGCCACTGGTCGTAATGGGAGTTGGGGGTCGAGGATCCCCTCTGCTACCCTCAGCCCCTACACTCACGACCACTCCGCTGGCGGTAGGAGGAGTTGGGGGTCTGGAGTGTCCTCTGTTTCCCTCTGCCCCTACTGTCACGCCCTCTCAGTTGGCGGTTGCGGGAGTTGGGGGTGGGGAGTCTTCTCTGCTTCCCTCTGCCCCTACAGTCACGCCCACGTCACTGGCAGTAGGGGGAGTTGGGGGTCGGGAGTCCCTTGGCCCTATGGTCACGCCCACGGAGAGATTTTTGAAGTTTCCCGGTTGTTTGTATCTGATGTGGGTGGGAGTCACACACCTGCTAAAGTAGATTCCGCTGGGAAGGAATCTCTTTGGCCGAACTCTGGTGACTTCCCCTCTCTGCTATGGCGGGCCCCTGGCTCCTTGCTGGAGTGTCTGAAGGGAGGGGTGGGACTGGCTTGTCTCTGGTCTGACACAATCTCTGGTTTTAGTTCCCAGTTCGCTATTTCATAAAGGCTTGGTTAGAGTCCCTTCACGTTGCCTCCTGAGCCGGGCAGGCGGGGCTGTTCGCCGGGCCAGGCAGGGACCCTTTGCCGCGCCGGGCCACCAGGGGCCATTTGCAGAACCGGGCAGGTGGCGGCTGGCGGGACTGGACCTCTGCACCATGTGGCCGAGATTCACTCATCTAGGACAAACTGTCACCTCTAATAAACTTACTAATTCCCGGCAGGTCTCCTTTCAGCGGAATTTTGCTAGATGTTTCTCAGCAGGTAGAATCTAAGCATATTAATGGGTCTCTCAGATCCCGTTAATGTGGAAATACTGAAAGTGCTGCCTCCTCGCCAGCCGCCATGTTGGGTCCTCGGATGGATGTCTAATAGGCATCTTGAACTTCATGACCAACACCCAGGCCTGATTATCCTATGGAGTCTGCTCCTCGCCAGTTGCCCTGGAACAGCTCAAGGCAAGATTATCTTCTAGTTTCTCTCCTGCACCCCTGTGTTTTCTACATGACATCCAGTGACCACCAAATCCTCGCAGTGTTACTTTCAGTTTTAGGGTTTGCATTTTTTCTATTTTGTGTGTGTGTGTATGTGTGTGTGTGTGTGTGTGTGCGTGCTAGAGATTGAACTCAGGGGCATTCGACCACTGAGCCACATCCCCAGCTCTATTATTATTATTATTTTAGAGAAAGGGTCTTCCTGAGTTGCTTAGGGCCTTGCTAAGTTGCTGAGGCTGGCTTTGAACTTGTAATCCTCTGACCTCTGCCTCCTGAGCCAATGGGATTACAGGTGTGCGCTGCTGCACCAGGCTTAATTTTATTTTTGAATATGTATAACATTTACATGGTTCCAAGTCAAAGCAATAGTAAAAGGGATTATCAGAAAAGTTTCACTTTCTTTCCTATACATCACCCAACACTCTCCTACTTTTCAATGTTTCTTGGGCAAACAAATAAAACAACTGTACACAGTTTTTTTCCCTTGCACTGAAGTTTGCATATTATACACATTGCTCTGCATCTTGCTTTTCTCATTTAGCAATATTAGAGATAAGTCCAGTTCCCAGAGGTCCTCATTCTTTTTAGAGCTGCATCAGTATTTCATTGCATGATGGACCATAATTTATTCAATCAATCAGAATAACATTTTGTGGTGAGCCGTTTCTGTGAACTGTGGCCGCCATTACAAGATGGCGCTGGTTTCCCCTGTAGTCTGTGACAAACAACTCCTTATTTTGGGAGAGTTGGCACGTAGCTGTAAATCACCCTATGAGAAAGATCCACGTGGCAGTTGTGCATTGGGGCTTTATCTGCTTTATTAGGGCTGGGGCACGTAGGAGTAGTAGTAGGAGTAGTAGTGGTAGGAGTAGTAGTAGTAGTAACAGTAGTAGTAATAGGAGTAGCAGTAGAAGCTAAAAGACATGTCAATAAAGGCCTGAATAAACAGCTGAGAGAAGAAAAGTATCAAGGACCTGAATAAACTGCTGAAAGAAGATTCCTGAGTTGCGTCTTCCTTGCGGGCAAGGGGTCGCGACAACATTTGGTGAACATTTGTTGAGATGTTCCTAGTCTTTTGTAATCAGGCAGTAATGAATGTCCTTGTATATATGTTATTTTGGACTTTGAAAGAATGTCATCAGCATAGATTCCATGGTCATATTTTTTCCCTTAGAGAGTTAGTGTATAGATTTTGTCTGAATATTTGATGAGCAGGATGGTTGTCTGTAATATAGCTAGATCTAACTTTAGACTATCTTCAATTCTCTACCACTCAGATATTTGGTAACTGTGCTTCTCCATCCCTGTGATTGGTGGTGCCACCCGACCAGTTCTTGGCAATGGGCAATGAGTAGAACTGATGATGTGTATAAGTACAGGGCTGAACTTCTACTTGAGAGTATGGTGTCCTTCAGAATTTTCTTTTCTGTCTTCCATGACAGGCAACTGTTTCCTTCGTTGGTTACTAAATGAGGACACATGGAACAATGTTTCCAGTGCATAGTTTCAGTAAAAAATAATCTCTGTTGTATAAACTGCTATGATCTGGGGCTGCTTGTTAGCTCAGCATAACACAGGTCAACCTGACTAATATCCCTTCTTCATGTCACCCTTTGTGCAAAGCCTTCTACTCCCTATTTAAAATTGTACCACATTGACACCATCACTCTATCCTGTTCCTTTTATATTCCCCCATAGCACCATCTCCATGTAACATTATATAGTTTGCTCTTATTTATTTTATTTGTTATATTTCTCCTCCTGCCACCGGAATGTAAGCTCACGAAGACAGTGATGGTCTGAGTTTCCATTCTGCCTGAGGCAGGGGATTTGGTACACATTGTTCATTTGGGAGGTGATCCTGAGAAGTCCAAGAGAGGGATCTGGGAAAGAAGGAGCAGGGGAGAGAGATCAATCAATGATAGACACATTAATAGGCTCGCTGGTGCTCTGGGAAATCTTTTGGAGATCCTCTGAAAATCTTCATTGAACAGGTCTCAGACATTTCCTATCTGGGGAGAGGAAAACTGGAGTATTGTCCCTAATTCCTGAAACTTCCTGGCTGTGGGTGTCCCCAAGGGTTATTAAACCTCTGGTACATTCCAGGCTGCCTTGTACAGGACCTGAGCAAGCTTCCCAGTGCTAGAGAAGGCCTTCAGGGAGAGGAACAGAGATGCACACAGTCCTTGTGCTTCGGAAGGCCACATGCAGTGGGGGCATCAGGAGAATCTGCTATTAGGGTTTTGTTTTTTCATGCTCTAATGTCTCCTAGCCCCTACATACTATTGGGCACACTTTCATAATCAATGAATGAATTCTACTGTGTGCATTTTCTGGATGTGTGTGTCCAGCATCCATTTTTTCTTTTCTGATCAACCTCAATCCTGTTTCCATTTCTCTCTGTTTTGTTTTGTTCTTGGTGTTTTGATTGGAATTAGTTCTACTCTTAGTTCCGGGGTGTGGGCTCCCCTGTGACATCTACCCCATGGGCTTCATGCATCAACTTCTCTTACTTACCTCCCCCCCCACACACACCGCCACTGTGATCTGTTCAGACTGTTTCAACCACAAGTGACAGGAAATCCACCTCCAAGGGACTGGCTACATGAAGGCATTTTATGGTTATGTTAGTTAAAAGTCCAGATTTAGTTCTGGTTTCAAGTGAGGCTTAATCAAGTAGCTCCAAAAGAGGTTTGCAAATACCCAGATTCTCTGTTCAGAGATGGACACATGATCTATTTTGGATCCCTGAAAGAAGGGAATTCCAAGGCTTGTTCCTTTTTTCCTGGTTGATGTAGTGTAAGGTACAGAACACAGGCATTTGACAATAACCACAGAGCCTAGAACTTACCAGCTGATTGCAAGACACCCAAAGTAAAAGCCAGAAAGAAGGAAGGGGGAGAGGGAGAGAATCTGGATCTTTGCAAACATCTTTTGGAGCTACTTGATCAAGCCTCACTTGAAACCAGAACTAAATCTGGACTTTTAACTGACATAACCATAAAATGCCTTCATGTAGTAAGTCACTTGGAGGTGGATTTCCTGTCACTTGTGGTTGAAACAGTTTCCACTGATTCTATACCTACCTTATAGGCTTGTCGTGAAGTTTAAATAAAATAGTACTTAGTGAGTTTGACACACAAACTCTGTTCATTATATTTTTTGATACTGGAGATTGAACCCCAGGCTTCTGACATGGTAGGCAATATAGTTATCACAAGGCATTGATTTGCAGAATCATGTGCCTTTTATTTATTTTTTTCTTTTTGTGGTGCTGAGGATTGAACCCAAGTCCTTGTGCAAGCGAGGCAAGCACTCTACCAACTGAGCTATATCCCTAGCCCTATGCGCCCTTTTTATTGTATACCTCTACCTGGCATGTTTCTCTTTTTCTCTTTGATACTCAATTTCGACCTCCCATGGAAACAGGCTGAGGGTACTGCCCAGGCCCAGGCTCCCAACCACCAGCCTGGGTTTCAGGTTCCCCTTGCATAGGAATAGCTGAGATCATCACAGACCTACTCCATGCTTGTCCAGTTCCTCTGATGTCTCATTTTTGGTTTTTGGTGATGCTCATCTGCATCCAACTTACACATAAGCATTTTCAGCAAAATGTTCCCAATGCCTTTTTCAGAAACCCAAGTCCCCACGAAAACAATGGCAGCAAGAAAAAGGTGTCAACTTTCCAGAACAGGCTCAGATTTTGAAAATGTGATAAAGAGGTTATTGTGTGCTCGAACTTTTCACATAAGAATTGGAGGCGATTTAACATGAGGAATAATAAACAGAGGAAGGCCGGCTAATGCGGAGCAGATGGGGCTGCCGGGCAGCGCTAAGCATTTCAACATCTTTCCCTTTGGACCTTTGGACTCAAGATGACTGAGAGCATTGCTGGTTTTCTTAGCTAAAAATAAAGGGAATGCCTTTGGGGAAAACCGTAAATATGGCTGGCTTGATTTCTAGGGTGGTTGGTAGACTAAAGAAAGTTTTCAAGAGGCTGGGTATGTAGCTCAGAGGTAGAGAGCTTGCCTAGCATGTCAGAAGCCTGGGGTGCAATCTCCAGTATCAAAAATATAAAAATAAACAAGTGTTCAAGAAACTTCTACATTATGGAGCAGGTATTGGCCATTCACTGATTTCATCCTGACCACACTCCATTTTAAGGACAAGAAAACAGGAGCTCTGAGAGCTAAACGACTTACTACTAAAGGGGGACACACAGCCAGGTGAGAGTAGAGCCAGGATCAGCCCAAATCTGCCTCACTGTGTAGGTCATGGCTCTGAGAAATGGGTTAGCAGGTGAGTAGGGAAAATGTGTCATGGCCAAAGAAATTTGAGAAATGCTAATACAGATAGACATATCAATACACACACACACACACACACACACACACACAGATACACACACGCACGTGCACACACGCATACGTGTACACCATAGTAGCCTTGTTGAAGTATAATTTATGTTCAATGAACTACACATATTTAAAGCATACAACTTGATACATTTTGACAAAGATCTATTCCTGGGAAACCCTCACTACAATCAAGATGCTGAGCATACCCAGTACTCTCCAAAATTTCCTCCTGCCCTTCTGTAATTCCTTCCTTACATCCCTCCTGTCATCTCACTCCTGATGTCAGACAACCACTGATCTGCTCTCTGTCTCTGTGGTTAGCAGCATTTTCTAGAATTTTGTATAAATGGAGTCCTGAGGTAGGCACTATTTTTTCCTGTGTCACTTCACTCAGTATTATTTTTCTGAGGTTCCTTCGTGTTATTGTATGTTTATTCCTTTACGTTGCTAAGTGGCATTCCACTGTAAGAACAAGCAGTAATTTGTTTATCTGTTCATCTAACACTTGGGTTGTTTCCAGTTTTTGAACTATGACAAAGGAAGTTCCCATCAATGTTGGTGGTCAAGTCTTTGTATGATCTATCTTTGCTTTTGGATAAAGTAAGATGGGAATGACTAGATCATATGCTAAGTGTGTGTTTAACTTTCAGAGAAACCGTAAAGTTGCTTTCCAAAGTGGTTGTACCTCTTTACATTCCCACCTGCAGTGCAGAAGAGTCCCAGTTCCCCACACCTTCTGCCTCTGGCTTAGCTTTCTTAATGTTTGCCATAATAAGAGTTTTTTGGTATGGTGATATTAACTTATTATTATTATTATTTATTTATTTATTTTTTTTAGTTTTCGGCGGACACAACATCTTTGTTGGTATGTGGTGCTGAGGATCGAACCCAGGCCGCACGCATGCCAGGCGAGCATGCTACCGCTTGAGCCACATCCCCAGCCCCTTTATTATTATTTTAATAATTTAAAATTATTAATTTATGTTTCCTTCACAGATAATAATATTGAGTATTTTTCATGTTCTTGTTTGCTATCTATATATCTTCTTTAGCTAAGTGTTCAAATCTTTGGCATATTTTTTAACTCTTCTATATTTAAGGGACAGGTCTCAATGCTTTGCTCAGGCTGGCTCCAAACTCCTGGGCTGGTGGGATCCTCCTGCCTCAGCCTTCCAAGTATCTGGGACTACCAGATAATGGTAGTCTGGACTCCCCAGCTAATTTTCCATCAGGTGCTCAGAGCCACTGAGAGCCTTCACACCTAGTGAGTTTTTTTCCCTTATCATTGAGTTTTGGGGGTTCTTTACATATTCTGGATACAATAATTTATATATGTATTGTGAAGATTTTTCTCCAAGTCCGGGTTTGTGTTTTCATTCTCTCAACAGTGTCTTTTCAAGAGCAGAAGTTTTCAATTTTAGTGAAGCATGATTTATATTCTACATTTCTTAAGCTCTATTTTGCATTTTAAAAAATCTTAGTTACATTCTGGAAATTTTTCTTGACTTGAAATCACTACTTACAAATTTGCTCTTTGGCAGTCCATTCTCCTACTCTGCCTATATTTTGAGTTTTTCTCAATTATCAATTTTTATTTAATTTTTAAAATAAAAACCATTCATAATGCTGCAACATGGTAATCGTGCATCTCCTTGAGAATAGTAGTATTTCAGCTCAGCACAGTCTATCAGCTCTATTTCCTCAGGTGTAAGTTCTGTACTTGGTAAGAAGATGTTTTTTCAGGCACAGAGTGGATTTCACAGTTGCCTGGTAATTCTTAGCTCAGAGACCACTTTGGGCATGAGGCTCCTTGTTAGCTCTTCTGTAGCTGTTTACTAAAGTCCACCTCCGCGATGGAGGATGAGAGTCAGACACAGACACTAGGGAAGGATTTCTTGGGGTGAGAGCTCCTCATTCCTCCTTTGTCACTTAGTCCCCTGGATGCCATTCTGGCTTTCTGTTCTAAAGGCTCGTCTTGCTCTTACATGGAGGCAGACACCTCTATGGCGATCACCTAGTCCAAGGGGCAACAGGAACAGGGATTATCAACCTGGCCGCTCCTACTCTGGCTCCCCAGCTGATTTTCCATCAGGCCCTGAGAGGCGCTCCTGTTCCCACTGTTGTTCCTCCAGGCTGAGTGCCCTTGGAGTCATCTCCTGTGGATACTTCAATACAGGGACTGGATTCCACTGCCTTCCATATTCAGGAGATTTTCAAGATTTCACACCTATAGGGAACCCCCTTCTAGTTTTCTAATGTACTTGTGTTTCACCACCACATTTTGTCTCACTTATAGAGACCTGTGCTGTGGAGGGATGTTGTAAAGGATACTCAGTCCTCTAGCCTGAACTGAACCTGCAGGCAAAATTAGCACCTGTCGAAGAATCTCTTGGTATTCAAAGTCCTGTGTGTGCAGAACACTTACGTTATGGTGATGTCACAGAAGCTTTGTTTGAGACTTTGATGCATCCATTTCCTTTGGAAAAGTCCAGTGGGGCTCACCTGCTGAGGAAAAAGCACAACCATGTTTTAGAAGTGGAAATCTGAACATTTTCCTTCCCTTCCTTCTCTGTGGTTCTCATTGACCTTCCAATGGAGCCTCCACTGGTTTTCTAGGTCCTTCAGGCTCCGTTTTTCTCTCTCTCCATCTTGGTTGCTGTCTGCTCTCATTCATATACTTGGAGAGCACAGGCCTTTTTGAGAATGGGAAGTTTGGCTGGAGACTAGAAGGAGAGGAGGGAGGGGGCTGTTAGAACAGGGGTGGGGCCCAGTGGGCCAGCCTCCGAGGAGGCTACCTTCAGCAGCCAGCACCAAGGAGGGCCTTCCTCAGCTTCACAAGTGTTGAGGGTGGAGCCTCTGCTCACCCTCCTCTCTCCATTGGTTTAAGGAGAAGACTATGTTGAAGTGCTGGAGCCTGAGGATTTGCCAGGATGGTCGGGAGGGGTTGATGCTCAAAGGCACAGACAGAAAAACAACGTCCACAGTGCTGTCTAGGTACTTCCCACAAAGTGTTTTCAATTCTAAATTAACTCCAAGCTTATCTCTCAAGTGTGTTTGAAATATGAAAATAATCTCAGCCTGTCACAATCTAGAATGTAGTTTAGATAAGCTAAGAGCCAAAGGGAAGAGAGCCTAGACCTTTTCTCTCAGGCCTGTGTGGGTCTGTGTTCCTAGGACTCCTGGGAACATGAGGCCAAACAGGGCAGCTGACTGGACAAATAGCTGTCATGTTAGTCGTTCATGCTTTAAATGTCTTTAAAAATGTAATTTTCAGGCTGGGCTTGGTGGCACATGCTATGTTCTCAGTGACTTGGGAGGCTGAGGCAAGAGGATCACCAGTTTGAGGCCAACCTTGGCAACTATGTATTTAGTCTATCTTCCTTTGGGTTCAATGGCTTCTCTGTCTGGTGGTTACTTTCCTATACTCACTTCCATTTAACTTTTCCTCCTAACTGTGAGGTGGATACTATTGTTTCCATCTCTGCAAATGAGGAAATGGGTCCCTTATAAAGTAGCAACTAGCATTGTGACTGGCAGCTGGTAAGTGGTGGATCTAGAGTTGGAGTCAGATCTCAAGTCTCAGGCCATAGCTAGGTCAGTTCCTGTAACATAATGCTGTCCCACAATCAGGAATATGGGGACAATCAATCCCCTTGACTTCATAATGGCCTCAGAAAGGCAGGAATGGCTGTGCAAGTCTATCATGTGGCTCTACCCACCAGCCCCCACGACCCCCATCAGCAAGGCAAAGAGGTGTGTTGAAGTTGTTTATTGCTGGGTAACAAGTTACCCCCCAAACTAGAATTAGTCTTTTATTGCTATGTAATAAAGTATCTCAAAACACAGTGTGGGTTAACACAATAAGTATAATTCTGTAATAAGTATAATTATACAATAAGTATAATTTTTTTTTGTTAGGAATTCAGGAGTGGCTTATCTGAAGAGCTTATGACTCAGAAGGGGAAGGGGTGGAGAGGCAGTCCCTTCTCCATACTGGTAAAGCAGCTAGTGTGTGCTGTTTCCCTGTCTTAAAGCATGTAAGAAAAAATCCCATCTTCTTTTAATATCTCAGTGAAAGAGCTTGAGCCCTCATCTTGTCGTCTTGAGAAATGCCTTGGGTTTTCCCCTGAGGAAAGGAGACCCCAAAGCTTCGTTGTATCCAAAATTACCAGACTCTGTCCCTTCCACCTTGCTTTTGAACCTCCAGCTGAGGCCAGAAGATGCCTCAATGCCCATGGGCAGCTTAGCCTTATGGCATCCCAGCCGCGAGACCAGGGCCGGGTGTCTTGCTCCTGTCCCATGCGTGACTGCCAGCATGCACCCTGGGGCATGAAGATCTGTCTTCTCTTCCCACTGCAACTCAACAAGCATGGGCCTGGCCCTGGGTGCTACTGACTCCGCCATTTACCAGCCCTAGACCATGAGTGAGCCTGCTACCAGGAACGATGGCTGCCACCAGGACTGGCTCTCTCCTCTCCCACACTCACTCCGGCTCTTTCCGCCTCAACCCCAATCCCGTGTGGAAGCTGGATCTCTGGTTTCCATGGTAGGGACTCTGGGGCCTTTCCTGTCACTGAACTTGATTCTGGGCCATCCTAGTCTCACTACAAGTTCTTTCTTCCTCTTTTGCAACTCGGAATAAACTGGATGTGCCCAGAGGGTGTAGCATCTCTATCTATATCTTAAACATCCATACCTCCTGCCATTCAAGGAATCTTCCAGTGTAGATATTCAACAGAAGGAAGAACCCAGAACCTGCATGTGAAAACTGGACTCGAATCCTTGTTCAGTGACTTGTCCTTCCCTGAAGATGTCTGCCTCTGCTTAGAGTCTGGCTCATGGAAGACACAGAAGCTAGAACTGTCCTTCCATTTCTCTTGAAGGTTCATCTCCTGCCCCCTTCTCTACCTCAAACTCTCCGTTCCTAGATTTTAGATGCATTTCATTATGATAGCCAATTTCTGATATGTTCAGTTCCCTCCGGTTATTTTTGTTAATGTTGCACTGCATCTACATGACAGAAGTGAATCTCTCTTACCTGTGTGTGTCCAGACATGAGTGTGAACACCTGGGATCCCAGCTACTCTGGAGGCTGAGGCAGGAGGATTGCAAGTTTGAGGCCTGAACAACTTAGTGGGACGCTGTCTCAAGATAAAATTTAAAAAGGGCTGGGGATATAGTTTAGTGGTAGAGCACTCCTGGGTTTAATCCCCAGTACCATGAAACAAACAAAAGACAAAAGAAAATTAAAAAAAAAGAAACCTTAGAACAGTGACTTGGATTTTTCTTCTCTATGCCAAATAAAAATAGCTATTTTTAAGAGTGCAATAAATAGCATGATGTAGCATTAAGTTGCTAGTATCTATCATGTTTCCCATGAGCCCCACACTCTGCAATGTGCTTTATATTTTTTAAATTTTACCTATTTTTAAAATTTGTTCTAATTAGTTATACATGACAGTATAATATATTTTGACATATTATACATTATAAATTTATGGAGTATAACTTCTCATTCTTCTGGTTGTACATCATGTAGGATTACATTGGTCATGTAATCACATATGCTCCTAGGATAGTAATGCCTATTAATTCTACCGTCTTTCCTAGTCCCATTTCCCCTCTCTTCCTTTCAATCCCCTTTGTCTAATCCAAAGTACTTCTATTCTTCCTTAGCCTCCCACCCCCATTATGAATTAGCATTTGCATATCAGAGGAAAACATTCGGCCTTTGGTTTTTTGGGGTTTGGCTTATTTCAAAAAATATGGAACACTTCACAAATTTACCTGTTATCCTTGCACGGAGCCATGCTAATCTTTTCTGTATCATTCTAATTTAAGTATATGTGCTGCTGAAGTGAGCACTATATGGTTGATCTCAGGTTTATCCTCACAGCAGTCCTCTTTGTATGATCTCTGGTTTACAAATAGGGCTGAGAGCTGGAGAGGCTAAATAACTTCTCAAGGTCACATACCTATTGCTATAAATTGAAAATTTTATTCTCCCAAGAGTTACATGTTGAAGCCATAACCTTTAGTGTGGCTGTATTTGAAGTAAGAAAGGGACTAAGTTCATAAGGGTGGGGTCCTGATCCGATAGGATTAGTGTCCTCATATGAGCTCACTTGTGTGCTTTCTCCCCGTGCCCCATGCAGGCCCAAAGAAGAGGTCACCTGACATCCAGCAGGAGGTGACCATCTGCAAAACAAAAGAGAGTTCATACCAGACAATCCTGCTGACACCTTGGCCTCACACCGCCAGCCTCCAGAGCTCTGAGGAAATTTATTTTTGTTGTTTATGCCACCCAGTCTGAAGTAGTGTGCTACGGCAGCCTAAGTGGGCCAATATACCTGACAAGCCACCACACTGGGATACAAGCACCAGAGTCCTCATGCATGATGCTAAACTGCCTCCTAGAAATATAGGTGCTCCTCCTCTGACAAACTGCAAGCTGAAAATGTCTTAAGTGGAAAATGCATGTATCTAACCTACCAAATATTGCAACTTAGTCTAACCTACGTTCAACACTCTTGAAATAATTAAGTGAGCCTGGGCTTGGGCAAAATCATCTACTAGAAAGCCTATTTTGTAATAAACTGTTGAATTTCTCATGTAATTTATTGAATATGGAAAGTGGAAAACAGAATTGTGGCCTGTATTTGCTTGCACACCATCATAGAGTTGAAAAATCCTAAGTAGAATCATCATAAAGTGGGTATTGCCTGAATCATCATTTTATATTTTTATGTTTTGACAAGGCTACTTTTAATATTTACATTGAGGTGAAAAATGTTTTTAAAACTTGGCAATATGGTGTGTGGGTCTATTCTAACTTAAAGCAGTTTCACTACATTTAGATTTCTGGAAAAAAAGTTTTTGAACATGCAAACAGGTTGGAAAATTTGCACCCAATAATAACAGTTGGACCTTTGGCTTATGGAAGACTTCAGTGGGAAAGTATTTGCTTAAATCTCTGCCTGCTATTATAGTTGAAGGTTTGGCGGTAGTATTTGCCCTTCCCCTGAACTTTTTGTATTTCAAAACCATGTGAGGTATCGTCTGTCTTACGTATCAAAAGTAAGATCAAGCAACTTTTAAAGAAGTGACAATCAAGTATTTCATTTAGCTAAGTGTCCATCACTGAGAAAATGAGTATCTGGTATGCCAGTGACCTGGACCCTTTTTATGTTTCTCTCCCTCCCTTAAAAATACTGTGAGGAGTCATTGGCAACTGACCATTTTTCTTCTACACGTTGGCTGGCCTCCTCCTTGGCTCTGTGGGCAAAGTCCCTTCCCAGGAAGTGGGTGTCAGCCCCTCCACAGTGGCCAGGATTTCAGGGCTGGGCTCATCAGTAGATGGATAATGGTGGCTGCCCTTTGGCTCTGCTTCCTTTCCTTGTCCTGTGAAGGTCAAGTTTCCTTCTCATTTGGAGAGCAGATGGTTTTGTGTGTACTGTTTCTCTATTTCTAACAGGCTTTCATTTTTAAAATATTGTTTTATTTTTTATTATTTTTTAAATTTGTCTTAATTAGTTACACATGACAGTAGAATGCATTTATGCATTTGATATATCATACATAGATGGGATATAATTTCTCATTTCTGAGTGTACATGTTACAGAATCATATTGTCATGTAGTCATAAAATAATAGTCTATTTCATTCTACTATCTTCCTATCCCACATCCCTTCCCCTCCCCTCCATCACTTCCCTCTACCCAATCTAAGGTAACACTATTCTTCTCTAGTGCCACCCCCCTCACCCCCCATTCCCCACCCCACCTTATTGTGCATTAGCATTCGCATATTAGAGAAAACATTTGGCCTTTGATTTTGTGGGATTGGCTTGTTTCACTTAGCATTCTATTCTCCAACTCCATCCATTTACTGGCAAATGCCATAGTTTCACTATTCTTTAAAGCTGAGTAATATTCCATTGAGTATATATAACCACATTTTCTTTATCCATTCACCTCTGGAAGGACCCTAGCTTGGTTCCACAATAGTTTAGCTATTGTGAATTGAGCTGCTATAAACACTGACATGGCTGTGTCAGTATTATACTGATTTTAAGTCCTTGGGATATATACCAAGGAGTGGGATAGCTGGGTCAAATGGTGGTCCCATTCCTAGTTTTCTGGGGAATCTCCATACTGCTTTCCATAGTGGTTGCACCGATTTGCAGTTCCACCAGCAATGTATGAATGTACCTTTTTTTCCCACATCCTTGCCAACGTTTATTATTTCTTGTATTTTTAAAAAATTTCTTTAGTTATAGGTGGACTCAATGTCTTTATTTCACTTTATGTGGTACTGAGGATTGAATCTAGTGCCTCACATGTGCTAGGCAAGCGCTCTGCCTCTGAGTCCCAGCCCCAGCCCCCTGTTTTTTGTATTCTTGATGATTGCCATTCTGACAGTAGTGAGATGAAATCTTAGAGTAGCTTTGATTTGCATTTCTCTAATTGCTAGAGATGTTGAACATTTTTTCATATATTTGTTGATAAATTGTGTTTCCTCTTCTGTGAAGTGTCTGTTCAGTTCCTTAGCCCTTTTATTGATTGGGTTCTTTGATTAGAGACTTGGGCTTTATGAAGGTAGCATCTTCTACATCCACTGCAGGCTAACTGTTGACAATCAAAAGATATGGAAGGATAGGTGATAAACTGAGAATAGACAGACTGGCAAAAATAGCCTATAATCTCAACTCTAACCATTACTAACATTTGAGGTAAACTTCCAGATTTCCTTTTATGTGCACATATGCATATAGATGTATGAAAATTCACATGCACCAGGTCATCCTGGACATGTTAAGGAACGTTGAGTCTACCTTGCATATGCTGTAGGTATCATTCCTCGTAGGCATATTAAAATTATTGTTATCCTTTTGCAACAAGATCATGTGAAGTGCTGATTCAACTAAACAATCTTAGGAATCCAGTTGAAAGATTCTTTAGAATTAGCACCAGGGAATACCTGCCTTTGCATGAGATGCTATGTGCCCCAAGAGCAAGAGAACTGATTTTTTGGGTCTTACTCTTTGGAGGGGCAGGAACTACAAAGAGGTTAGTTTTGTGAAGTGTGCAGTGTTCATGAAGATAGTCTGACCTGACCTTCAAATTCCAGAGCCCCACATTTACTCTGGCCTCTCTATGGATTTGAAATAACACAGAAAAAGCAGGTTAAAAATTTGGCATTATGGCAGAATAAATGCTCAGATATCTGGAACTCTTTCTTGGTACAAAACACCTAAAGTTACTGAGTTAAATATGAAAGTAAAAGAAATGTGTGGCTTGGATGGTATGAAGCAAATGTTCAGAGGCCATATATA